CTATTTTAACTTATTTCTCTAATTTTTTCATCAGGGTTGATGTACTCAAAGTCACATTTGCCACTGTCACTAACATGTCAGTTCCACAGGGCATTTTCTTTTCAGATCAATAATATCTGCAGCTTCCACAAGTGCATGTTGCTAAAGCCACTGCATTAAACACATCAGTTTAGTTTCTTGTGAGAATGTCAGAGCACGTGAAGAGATGAACACTCAACAAAAACTGTGTAAGGGAAGTTATTTGGCAAAGTGGCATCTACACAGCAGCGTGTTCTGCTTTGAGGCTTTAGCTAGCACCAGGGTTTTCTTTGCTCACTCCTAAAGAGACAGGGAAGCAAAACCTCACCACTGCACTTCCCTCTGGTTCCAGGATGGTGTGCAGCAGCAGAACAATCTGCTCCCTAGCCTAGGAACAAGTCATACATACGTAAAGAAGCTGCTAAAAAAAGCTAAATTTGAAGTGCAGTGAAGCTAAAACGATAAAAGAAGAAAACAAGTTTTAACCTGGTGTTTCCTCTAAAAACCAGATGGATTACTAGATTAGGCCAATGTGCTGTGGCTAAAAATTGCTCTGTTGCATTAGCCTGTTTGATGCACCTGAATTCCAGTTGGTTACATTGGTTTAGATCACTATCTGTAAGGCACTTAATTTCTACCCTCCTCCCTCCCTCCCTCCCTCCCCCAAGGCAAGGTGATAACAGACACAGAAAACAAGTAACTTTGCAGGCTGAGTGATTTACTACCATCAAATTGCTGTTTCCTACCTGTCTTCCACCCACAAACATCTGTATAGTATCTACTTTCCCCCCCTCTGGGTCCTGTAATTGTACAACAGTTTTCCCTATTGCAAAAAAATGCCTTCACACCCCACTACTGACCTTTGCTGGTAATCCTTATCAAGTTCTGTTTGGCTGGAGGTGTTTGTGAATCTGTAGAGGCTGCTGCTGCTGTCCTCAAACACAGAGCGTTTGTCTTTGCCAAAGACCCTGGTTGAAACAGCCTCAAACACTTTGTAATCCATCAGTGCCTGGCAGACACGAACTATCTTAGCTCGGGAGATATCCACGTCCCCAAAGTACTTGTTCTGTAGGAGATGGGCAAAGACAACATCCACTGCATCTGACCCAATGAAACAGTCATGGTAGCACTTCAGGTTCTGGCGACGCTTTTTCACTTCCACTTGAGTTTGAAGAACATTGATAATGCTGCTCCAGACATAGGTTGCTCCAAAGGGTTTCTGTGCCAAGCTAAAGCCTGAGAACAGAGACAACAAAGCCTGAATTCATGCTGCAGTCAGGACAGCACAGCCCCTTGCTGGCTTCTAGCTTTCATCAATCTCCTAAGGATTTTTTTTTTTAAAAAAAAAAAAAAAAAAGAAAATCTTTGTGACTTCCAGTCTGGCCTGGGCTGCTCATGCATTAACACTTTGTTACTTCCTTAGCAAGTCTGGCTGCTCTGTACCAGTGTCTCTCTGGTGGTTCCTCTCCCTACATCAGCCTCAAGCTTTGTGACCAGGAGTTCCTGTTTTTTCAGTCTCTCACTGTGGCACCTCATGGTTACACCTGCAGAACCTCAGCACATGTAAGCCACAACCATGGAGTAGCTGTGTGCACTTGTAACTCCCCAGTTCCTCTAACACTAACAAACCACACAGCTGGGCAGGGAAGAGGGAGGCAGGGCTGAAGGGACACATCAGAACCTTGTTTCCTACAGGATTATGTATATACACAAGGTACCCAATATCAGTGCTTAGCATATCACTAACAAGTTCAAGGATCCTCTCCAGACACTCCACACTAGTCCCACCAAACAACATTCTGCCACCACAGCTGAGACTGTGTACTCAGTGCCACTTCCTTGAGCCAACCTGTCCTTCCTCCCCCAGTAAAACCACTCAACTATTACTCATTTACTGATCTGATTAGAATAGTATGCCAACAGTCAGCAGTTTGACTGGAGGCCACACTCAGCCTCCCCAAGGACTTAAAAACACACAAAGTTTGCAGGTGGCACCTAACTGGGAAGAGCTGCAGCCACCAGAGAGGCTCGAGTTAGAAGATATGCTTTTCAGTGAGTCAGATGAATAATTCATTAAGACAGAAAGCAGAGAAAGAAGAGAGAAATCAAAAGCTGAAGGACAAAATATGGAACGAGGAGTTGGCAGCAATCCTCCAGAAAGCCATCTGGGATTGTGACAGACCTCAAACCAAATGAATTGACAGTACGATGCAGTGTTTGAAAAAAAACAACATGCAACTCCTTCTGGAACATATTACCATGAGTATTTTCCACAGAGATGCAGGAGGTATTTTTTTTTCTGATCTGTCTAGTCTGAAGTGGCTTTAGTTAGAGAACTGTATTCCAATTTGGGGCACCACAGTTCCCAGCTGATCTCCATCGACCAGAAAGCCCAGAAATCAGCAAATTAGCAGGAGTAGGGGGAAGGTAAAGACTGGGGGGGGAAGTAAGGAACACGATGGCATTTGAACACACCAACGCTTAGAAAGGACAGCAACAGTTACCTTTCTGCCAAGATTCACATCAGGGGAAAACCACAACTTTTTAATACACATTGAAGCAGCCCAGGTGGAAATCTTCCAGACCCTCCCGTTTGCAAAGCTTTAAAAACACAAGACAGCCAAGGCACACACCTGCAGATACTTTAACCTGATGACTCCTGTATTCTGTGTAAGCAGAACACACACAACAGAACCGAGAATTCCCTTCCAGCCCTACATTCCAATAGCCAACTAACTTCTTTGGGAGGGGAAAAAACCCAAACCCAACACCACCAAACATTCACCAGCGTTGATTTCTGTTGCTCAAATAAACATCACCACATCCCACCTGCAATACTTTAACTCCTAACACAGCTTTAGCACCTGTTCTTTCTACACACACCCTTCGAATCTTTTTTAGGGGGAAAGCAGCACTAAGTGTAGCATCAAGTTTCCAAGCTTTCACACAGTTTAGGCATGAAAAAACAGCAAAACCAGCCAGCAGCAAGTGCTGTTTGGCTGCACTAATGAGTCATCTGCCCTTAACTCGCACCTCCCTGTGTGTCCCCGCGGCTCGGCGGGCACCGAACTGACCCAGCGCCCGACGGGACCCCCGGGTGGAGGAGTCTCCTGCCCGCACCGGAGAGACGACAACGTTGGAAAC